CTCAGAGGGTGTCATGTTGGGCTGTGGCTGAGACGGGCTACAAATAGCTGTAGGGCTCCATGGGCTATGCAGTCAACAGGCGCTGATAGGCGTGGGTTAGGCGAAAATGGTGCCCAGCCAGGATTGTGCTTCTTTGATGATCTCACGCATGCCGGCCGCTCCTTCTCAGTTTCCGTCGTCGTGTTCGTCCGCTCCTGCCCCGCACAACCCCAAATCTTCAGCTCCGTACTTCTTGCACCCACGACGAACCCGCCAGCAAAGCCCCGCCTACCGCCACGAGACTGCTACTGCGACGCCAGCACCGCCGACGGCCACAGCCTTTGAGCGCCTCGTTGCGACACGCTCGCCCCAGAACGCCGCGCGGCGCATTACCCGGTCTTCAGCACGCGCTTCGGGCTTCCGGACTGTTGATGCCAGCATGGAACCCAGGAGGCGGCCAGAGTACAACCTCGAGATCTTTGCCGACGCGGCGTGCGTGAAGGATGTTGTCAAGGGTGAGTCTCTTCTCTTCCACCGTGTCTCTGGCGTGAAGATCGGCGCAACTTTCTCCCCCACTACACGTCTCCCCGCCCCGAATACCCCGTAGACCATAGTTGACCTGGCTCCAGCGATACTGCACACGATATTCTTCCACCGCTACTTTACGTCCATCTCTCCCTTGACCCGCGACCTCCTCGACCTGACCCTTCCCGCCATTGACGATGTCGATCTCGAGACACTTATCGAACAGAAGACGTTTGCGCTAGTTCGGGCGATAGACAGCACCCACCAGCCGAGAGGAAGGGGGCAGATTGTCGTGCAGTTCTTTGAGAAGAAGCGAAAAAAGACATCGTACTTCTTCAGCAAGGCGGACGAGGACGTTTGCTGGGAGCAGTGGACGCTGGACGTTACCCTTGCCCAGCCACGCACAGAAACTGGTATGTCTCTCTGCTTGTTGCAACGCGCGCCACTAACAAAGTGTCAGATGTGCTCAAGGTCCGCCGTGCCATGACCAAGTCTCTGGAAAAGGCAGCACATAAGATCATCGCCATTGTGAACCGAGAAAAAGACCACATCCCACCCATCACAACCACCGACGCCAACCCCTTCCCTTACCAGATCGTCGTCAACCCAAAGTCTGTCAACGAGAACGACTGGCGGCCGCGCATCGGCCTTTTCTGATACCAATACCACGGCACCGAGTGCAGTAATAAACCCACTGTATATACACCCATGGACGATGTCACGAGTAAGAGGAGGTTCAACACCGCTGGGGGACACCAATCGTCACTGAATGCGACGAAAAGGATGGAAAAGTTATGGATTCGCACACCTGAAAGACCGACCGCGCTTCACCCCCTTATCCCTCGCCACCACTACCACTGCCAAAAGCTCCGTTGTACAGTGTCCGCTATGTCGGGCAACCCCCATAACTGTGTCGCATTCTGAACCCGCGGATATCGGGAAGTTTAGCGAAGAAGACGAGCCTCTGTTGCTCCTGATTGTTTGATTGCTGCGATAGCTACACAAGATACCCAATTCCCCAATGAAATTTTCCTCATTCTACATAGTCACATAATGTTGTTGGTGATGTCAATTCTGGCCAATGCTGTTCTCGAGGAAGTGTCTGGGACACACACCCACGTGCAATTAAGCTGCTTTACTACTTATACCTCTTTGTAATCTAATAATTTACGTCTAGCCGGGCTCTGTAATCGTTATTCAGCGTCCCAACTCTCTAGCAATATCCAGCTCATCCTTCATTGTTGTTCTCAGCCCACTCAACCCACCGCTTAACAACCTCATCCACCTTCTTAACCCCCTCCTTCGTAGCCTCGACTTCAAACCACTCTTTATGCGACTTGCCACAAGCATCGCACTGCTTGATGACACGCTGATCCGCAAGCTCGAGATGAATCAGGCGCTCCACACGATGCGCATGCGGCACCTTCCTCACGCCGTCAGAAGCAGCCCCAGCATTCGCACCTGATTGGCGTCGAGACTGTGCAGGCGAGGGCTGGGGAGAGGGCGTAGAAGAAGAAACGTAGGGATAGTACCGTACGAGGGATAGACTGTATCCGCACTGGCGAGTCCATTCATTCATGCGGCGGTGGACGTTGTTTGCGCGCCCGATTTTGAGGAGGATGGTGTCTTTGTCTGGGGGTGAGTTTGCGGATCCGGATCTTGAGCGGGTGGTGCTGGGCTGTCCGCCTTTGACGGAGAATTGGCGCATGACATCTGAAGTTCGCCTGCTTTGATCTGCACGTGATGGTGGCGAGAGAAGCGTCGACGCAGCGGAGGATGGTGCAGGGCCGGCGGCTTCGGGGGTGAGCCAGAAGATGTAGATGTAGCCTTCTTCGTCGTGGGGTGAAATGGGCTTTGAGAGTTGGGCGAGCAAGGTCGACGCGAGTTGTGGTGGTACTGTATTTGGGATGTAGCGGAGTAGCTTCGCTGTTTCTGACTCTTCGCGAGTTGTCCGATTGACAGGTCGAGCGGGCTTTTCTCCCAGTGGTTTGCGGGTAGGTTGGTCACTTGGTGGTCGCGATGTGGGAGGTGGTCGCGATGTGGGAGGTGGTCGCGAGGAAGACGAAGGTCTCGAGGTCTGACCGCTCGGCCTTCGATGATCTTGTCGTACTCGAGGCGGTTGCTGTAGTACCTGCTGCATAGGAGTCTCTTGTGCATCGTCCTCCGATACGGGCTTTTCGTCTGTCCTTCTCTTGTGCCGCACGACCTCCGTGTATTCGTCGTCGTCTGCAGACCCACAACATAATGAAGCCCAAAAACTCTTCTTTCTCCTCTGTGGAGGTGGCTTCGGCGGCCGATGGTCTCTGCGCTTTCTTGCTGCCATGACATCGCTCGGTACAGACATCAACGGCCCTTCTACGTTATCCCAGGTAGCTGGTCGATTGATGCGCCGCGGCGGACGAGATCCAGATGTTCTTCTCCTTCCACTCTTCTTGGGCGCGGCTTCATCCGGTTCTCCAAAATCAAGGACACCCAGTCGTTCCACGAGCGTGTCGATACTGTTCCTCTCTTTCAGCGGGTAAAGCTGGGTAGTTGGTCCACTCGATGCTTGCGCAGCCAAATGCTCGGCTTGGTCTTTGTGTTGCCAGCAGAAGTAGGCGGCGGCGCCAATCTCGTCATCGTCGCTGTCGTCGCTAACAACGGATACTACAGCGATAACACCGTCGTCATTAGATGCTTTCGCATCAATAGGACGTCTGCATGGTCGTCCCGATTTAGTAATGCCTTTGCATGTTGTAGCTGGGTTGCGCGAATCCGAGCGCGGGATGAGCGATTCTGGTGTCGTTCCCGTGAACATGTTGGTGTGGTTGTAGGAGGGCAACCCGTGATTGCTGGGCAGACAGTAGGACTAAAGTTAAGGGAATTGCTAATACAACGCCCAGGCTGGTGTGAATCTCGCGCCTGTTCACAGCCTCACCGCCACGTGAAGCGAGAGTTACTCTGAGGAGCGGCGCCGGCCAGTGAATCTCGATTGTCGAGACCAACGCTGCGGACGCGGTGTGCCAACGCATTATGAGCCATCGCCGCGAGGTGGGCGCGTAGCTGAAAAGAGATGGCGGGTCTCAAACGCGAGGTGGGCGCGTGGCGGTGCATGTGGCGCAGCGAGGCAAAAAGAAGGTTTGCTGGCTTGCGAAGGCGCACGGGTCGCTCTTTCCAACCCAACTCCACCACCACAACATCTACAGTGTCTGTAACGCCAAAAAGAAGCGAAACAATGCAAAAAGAAAGCATTGCATCGGCCGGGAATCGAACCCGGGGCTAGCCGAAACTGTCCTGTGAAGGATGGCAACGGCTAATTTTACCACTAAACCACCGATGCGTGAATCATTGAGATGGATGATTTGATAGAAAGCTGACCAAATTGATCGTAAATATTGCAAATGACAGTGAGAGATACACAGCGTGCTATGCGACAGGCTCTGGGTCGATAGGCTGGGTGCGGTATAGCTTGATGCACGAGTCGAGGACGATCCACCAACGATATGGGTCTCCACTTACGGCGTCTAGAAGATGGTGTGTTAGTCTTCTCCATCACGTACTAACAATCAGTGGATAGGGAAGTCTAGCAAATACTTTGTTACTGAGCATTGATTCATATAGTAAACACGTTCCTAGAATCAAAAGCTATCACTGTTTTTGCAATACTAAACAAGAAATCCCAACTGCAAGGCTTCGCATTCTGCCTGATCTCGCGCGACTTCCATCGATTCATACCTAGGTAGCAATCGAAACGGCAAACTATTCGGCAACATGACTCCTCGCGGCAATCGTACACGGAGTAAGAACGAAGCTGGAGAGCCCTTTCCAGTCTTGCTATCGCGCCAAGCCGGTGCGTTATTGTTGTACCTACCTATGTGGGTAGTGCATAGATCTCGTACTACATCGCGGAACAAAGCTTATTCTCCGTTTCCCCAGCGTGCTCCAGATCGTCGACTTACATAACACGACCACCGATATACCCAGACGCAGTGCCTTTATCGCTGCTGCGCAATGTTCCGTCCTGTGGTAGCCCAAGCCAGACCAGTCCTGGAGTAATCCGACCCACAGCGGAGGTAATTCCGGTGGAGGATTCGACTTCTTCACACGCGATATTCCGCGAAGAACTGCACAGTAGCACTGTCTTCCTGGTACATATCCTGGAGTAGCAGGGGCTGGATAGATAACGCTTCTGTATCTGTGTGTCGCTCGACAGAGCGTGCAGCACATGGTCATCAATATCCCACGCTAACCGAAGTTGGAAGGTACATGCGATGTTCCGCCAGAGGGCATGACGGCGGTACTGCTTCGCGTGTTTGAACGTATCACCATGGTCTGTCATCTCATATCCCCGCTTCTACGCTTAGATATACGGGCTCGGCAGAATGTGTACGTCTGTAGATAAATTGGATTGTGTCCCTCCCGACTTGACGACTTCTCTTCCACTCCATCTACGCCACACCAGCTCCGGGTGAAGACAAGATCATACCGCCTTCCTTCCTTCAAGCATATACTACACCATGGCACCTCACCCGTTCAGTATCCTCAACATAGAGGAGACACGCGTTGCGCGTGACACCGTCCTCTCCCTCCACAAAGACTGCGTTGTCGACTTTCGAGAGATCTTCCTCCAAGAACCAGCAAAGGAGCTCATGAAACAGTACCTTGAGCTCGAACATGCAGCAAAGCCAGGACAGTCACCAGTTTCCAAGCGACCACCACGATTGGCCAAGTGCCAATACGACGTCATCGGCTCAGACAAGATACCAGAGTACCACGAGTCTGTCATTGATGTTGAGCAGAGGAAGAGAGTGCGACATGAGATTGTGGGGAAGGAGAAGCAGGCTGCTTTGACGTTATGGGAGTTCCAACACCTTGTCAAAGCGTGTGAGGAGAGTGATATGTTCAAGGAAGCTATGGCTGAGATCAAGCTGCCTGATGGGTTTGAGTTGGTCGTTGAGCCGTGGTAAGTACCCATGTCGACTTCAGGATGCCACGTTACTAACAATCATAGGCCATACGGTGGTCTCGACATTGGTGCTGAGAACCGGAGATACTTCCAAGGCCTATGCTTTGCCCAGGACATGAGGAACGGAAATGCCGACTCAAACTTCTACGCCTACCCCTTACCACTAATTCCTGTTATGGATGCACAAACAAGAAAGATTATCCGCGTTGATCGTCTAGCCACTGGTGGCAAGGGCGATAGTCTCACAGGCCAGACACACTCCGAGCGCGTTCTGGACCACTGCGAAGGTGCAGAATATGTTCCCGAACTACTGCAAGGCGGTCTTCGACAAGACGTCAAGCCCATCAACATCACACAGCCAGAGGGACCTTCCTTCAGCGTCACAGACGAGTCACTGGTTGAGTGGCAGAAGTGGAGCTTCAGGGTCTCGTTCAACCCCCGTGAAGGAGCCGTGCTGCACGACGTCAAGTACGATGGCAGGAGTATCATGTACCGGATGAGCATCTCAGAGATGTCGGTCCCGTATGCTGATGCTCGCCCACCATTCCACCGCAAGCAAGCTTTCGACTTCGGTGACGGAGGCGCTGGCAACTGTGCCAACAACCTTTCCTTGGGCTGTGACTGCCTCGGTGTGATCAAGTACTTCGACGCCGTCGTTGTTGGTAACGATGGCGAACCTAAGGTTCATCCCAACGTCGTCTGTCTTCACGAGCAAGACAACGGTATTGGCTGGAAGCACAGTATGTATACCCATCCCAACTTCTCATCCTAAACTAACCCACCAATCCAGCCAACTGGCGAACCGGCCGCGCAGTAGTCACCCGACTACGCGAACTCGTCGTCCAATTCATCATCACCCTCGCAAACTACGAATACGTCTTCGCCTACAAGCTCGACACCGCCGGCGGCATAACCCTCGAAGTCCGCGCCACCGGCATCGTCTCCGTCGTAAACATCGACCCAGGCAAGACGTCCGACTACGGAAACGTAGTCTCAGGCGGCGTCCTCGCCCAAAACCACCAACACATCTTCGCAGCCCGTACGTCTCCTCAATCTCTCCTAACACAAGAATCACTTGCCTAACCACCCACCAACAGGTTTCGACCCCGCAATCGACGGCCACAAAAACACCGTCGTATACGAAGAATCGCACTCGACCCCCATCAACGCAACCACAAACCCTGCCGGCAACTTCTACGAGATCCGCAAAACCGTCATCGACAAATCTGGCGGCGTAGACGCAAATCCCTTCGACCACCGCGTCTTCAAAATTATAAACCCGTCCAAGACAAACCCCAAATCAGGGAACCCTGTCGGTTACAAATTCGCGCCGCTGCCCACGCAGAAGATACTCGCTGCGCCGGGTAGCATACAAGCGCAGCGCGCGCTGTTCACGAACCACCATGTCTGGGTGACCAAGTACCAAGACGACGAGCTGTATGCCGCGGGACGGTTCACGATGCAGAGTCAGTTGGAGGAGGGAGGTGTGCACGATATGGCGGCCCGCAAAGACGGGGTTGAGAATGAGGATTTGGTGGTGTGGAATGTGTTTGGACTGACGCACAACCCACGGGTGGAGGACTGGCCTGTTATGCCGGTGGAGATTTACCAGGTGCATTTCAAGCCGAGTGATTTCTTTGAGAGGAACCCGGCGATTGATGTGCCGAGTACGAAGAATACTGCGAGTGTGCTGGTGGAGAAGGAGAAGGGGTGTTGTGGTGGGGAGCAGAAGCTGTGAGTGGTGCTGAGGGGGGTGTCACTTGTTAGTTGGATGTATGGAGCGAATTCATTGTGTATAGCACTCTTGCATCATTGCCTTAGTGGTTGCGAAAATGTAAAGCGTAGTTCATGCTATACTATACTACGATGCGCTGCATCTTTCAAAAGACTAAACCAATCTGATAGTCATCCAATCGTCAAGCAGTGGTATACCAAACGCCAATATACTCCAAAGTCATGTATGTTTGTACACGGGTATTTACACGCCCCAAGCGCCAGCGACGGCGTTGAGAGCACCGTCAACAGCCTCCTCCAGGGTCTCGACCCTCAGTCTGAGCGAGCGGTTCTCCTCTCGCTCCTTTGCCAGACGACCCCAAACAGCGGATTGTGCACCGCCCTGGCAATTCGCACATCCCCATCCGCCTTTCGCGATGTCGACTTTGCCCTCTTGTCTCTGCTCATATGTGCTTCCGCGTTTCAAGGGTTGCGGCTTGCGTCCCTTGGGTGTGATGTCGTGGATGTCGGTGTCGAGAATGGAGGAGCGGTCGGTGCCGGTGGGGCTGAGGCAGCTTCTTGAGAAGACGCTGGCGGCATCGGTCTCGGCTTCAGACTCGAAGCCGGAATCGACGCTGATCTCTGAGCCGGAGACGCGGTTGTGGCGGCGGGCGTTCTCCTGGCATGGAGCGTGGTCGCACTGTGGTGCGCCTCTGATGAGGGCTAGACTCCTCTTACGAGCCGCCTCTTCCTCTTGACGGGCTTTACGCTCAAATGCAAGGTCCTCCATGAGGCTTCGCATCTGCTCGTCTTGCTCAGCTGCCTTTGCCGCCATTGTCTCCAGCTGCATCTTCAAATGCCTTGCTCGTGTCTCGGCCTCGTCAAGCTCATCGTCCTGCGCACTTTGTTCGGCATGGGCATCTCCCAACGCGGTAGAGAGTTGGCGGTATGCGGTCTGGTAGCGAGAGAGGAGCGCTTCGGCGTTGGTGAGGAGGTCGTGGAAGGACGAGGGTGCCAGTGGATCGGCAGGTCCGTGTGGGAAGAGCGACTGCGAGATGCTCAAGTTGAGGAGCTCATCGTCGGGGTTGTGGTATGTGGCAGACTGCTGCGGAGGGGGTACAGCGGCGTTCTTTTGTGTGGACAGCAGCCATGCGAACTTGCTGCTAGTGGTGGGCTGGCTCGGGGCCTTGCTCGGTGTTTGGGTGTCGTCTGATCGTCTCGGGCTCTGCGATGTGCCCCTCGTAAGGGAAGAGCCGCGGTTGAAGAGGTTGGTCATCATGTTGCTGCCTCTCTGCTCTTCCTCCTCCTCGGACTCAGAGTCGTATTCCTCTCCCGACTCAGAACCAGAATCCGAGTATTCGTCTTGCTGTCCGACACCCAGCGTCACGGGTGCAGAGGAGCCGTTGAACCAGTTTTGGAGTGCCCTAATCTTAGGCTGGCTAGCGCTGGACTCGATAGCGCCTCTGGAGGGGATGAAGCTTGCCAAGGACTTTGTAGGTGAAGATGCTCTTGAAGTATGTTGCTGGATTGTCGATGTTGCGCGATTGAAGTTGTCGAAGATGGTACCAGTCAATGTCCGCTGGTGTGTTCGGCCAGATCGAGGGAAGTCTTCTAGTGGGGAAGGTGCATGTGGGTCATATGCCGTTGCAGTAGTGGGTGTTAAAGCGGAAGGAGGTGGTTGAAGGCCGGTAATGTCCACGTCGTCGAAGCTGTGCACTTGATCGCCGACCACGGGACTCGAGATCTTTCGACTGTGGTTCGAGCGGTGCGTCGCATAAGGGGCCTGAGGCGGCTGTTGGAGCTCCACGTTGTGAGGGGCGTTGCGGCTCATTCCAAACTACAGCCGCTAAAGGACGTCCGGTGCCGGGGTTGCAAGAAGGCACGCTGGTCAGCGGGCGAGGAATGCGTCAGTCGCCCAAAGATCGTCGAGCAGATGGATGTTTACGTATGAAACGCGAAAGCAACGGTTTCAATGCTGCTGCTAGGCGGGGTTGTGTTGAGGGTAACCCGGCCAACACTGTCAATCTATCGATAACAAGGCGGAACGAGGGTCGTGGGAAGGTAAAGCGGCGGTCAACGAATGTTTGGCGGTAGAAGTGGTAAGAGACGCAGTAAAATGTGTCACTGCCGGTATAGTGTACCAGAGAGCAAAAAGAGGGTTCAATGTTTCGTGAGCAAAGGGCGAGGTTTTGTCCTCGAGGGCTGTTTCGCGTGGTTGGCAGGAAACAGCGTGGCAGGGAACTAGATTTTGTGAGGCTGGGACGGCTAGCTCGCCCCATCACGTACGCAACGCACACCGCAACACGTAGCTGTCGCTTAGAGAGTCCAATGACGCCTTGCCAGCCAGAATGCTCTAATGCAAGACAGCCTGTAAGCTGCCTTCGTCCCTGTTTGCAAGCCGTTCGGTCTGCGTTCGCGTTTCGAAACATTTCATCGTGCAACACTTAGCGCACGGCCCAGTACGCGTTGAAATGAGCAGGGAAGGCCTATCTGAAGAAGCTCACTCAACAACAGGAGATTCAGCGACTGAGACACTGGTCGCGGTATCGTGTGATTGCGGCATCACACATCTGTCTCCCATCAGTGGAGGTACTCCCACTCGCCCACTGCACTTACCCCACAAATCTTCACACCGAATAATCGCGTACCCTTACAAGTTCACCGCATCTTCTTGTAGCTACACTTTTATTCGAACTGTCTAGTTCTGCGCGAGCAGGTGCGCGTCTTCTGACGTGCCCCACCGCTCCGTTCCATCTTCGGGAAGTACCACCCAGGGCGCCTTTTCTCGCAGAAATATGTGCTTCACAACTTTGGGTGCTACTTCCGTCTTAAGGGTCTCCAGATCGACCGTTGCCATGCACAACCCTAGACCGTCGGGATCGGAGGGATATGACATAGAGATCGGAGCTCCGCAGCCCGCGCAAAAGGTACGTTCCGCAACGGCCGATAGTCTTAGGACTGTGCGCGTGTCCGCATACGTGAAGGAGATGCTGTCTTTGGGAACGTGTGTGAAGGGCAGAAAGCCAGAGCCTGAGACTTGCTGACATGCGCGACAATGGCACAGTGTGATGTCTGAAGGTGCGGCGCTCGATGTGTATTGCACGCCACCACAGCGACATCCACCTTTGAAGACAACGTCATCGTGTATAACTTGTGGCTCATATCTTGAACCGTCCGCAGCTAGATGGCACGTTAGTTTTGTCTGGTTCAGCTCTTTGGGTCACTTACGTCTCCGCGCAATACCGAGGAAGACCGAGTCAATCTCCTCAATCTTTCCGTCTATCGCCAGCTTCTCCCACTCTTCCCTATAGATCTTTTGCGCTTTCCTTCGAATGTCATTGTTCGCAAACGTTCTCGCAACGTCCTTGACAATCACGTTTTCGACGAAGAAATCATCCCACTGCTCCATCTCGTAAGTGCGTCGGCCATATCCCGCTTGACTCTCCACGGTAACAACTTGATCTACCTCCACGCCCGCAGACTCCAGTATCTGCTTCAGTGTGTCTTCTGATTTGCTCCACGATCGATTATATGGAATGGGAAGTTCCAACCTGCGGGCAACCCTCTCCAGTACCATGCCGGAGACCAAGTTCCTCGGATGTGTCGCATCCATGGCAATGACGCCTCCAGGCTTCAGGAACCCTGCCCAATGCTCAATAGCAGCTTTTGGATCGGGAAACAAGACCAGAGCAGAAGCCACTGTGATGACGTCAAATTGCTTTCCTCTGAGTGCTTCCGTCTCTTCTAAATGCAGGACGTCGCCTTGAAGGAAAGTTGTGTTTGCGTATTTGTCCCCTCCTTGGGTCTTTCTGTGAGTAGCGACCGCGAGCATACCAGGGGTGACATCAACTCCGATGACATGCCCTTGTGGTCCTACCGCCTCTGCCTCGCGGAATGTCAACAGCCCGGTGCCACATGCCAGATCCAGTACTTGTTGCCCCGGTTGGATATCGAGATAGGAGATGAATCGCCTGGTGAAATCGTTGTGCCAGGTAGCGTCGTAATCCCAGGATTTCGAGTCGTAGAACCGGATAGCATCCGCTGCTTGCCGCTCGCTTGACATTTTGGCCGACTTGAAAGTATCGACCGTTGGAGATGGGAGAGCTCTCTTCATATGTACGGTTATGGGGTGGGTAGAGGCGATTGGCCAATGAGCGGTGGACTGCTTTGAAATCTACACTTGCTTTGGAAGTAGCCAGTCAGACTTCACCTTTACTTCCTTCTCTTATGATCTAAGATGACGAGGATATGACGAACACACACACCTGATACTGTTGCGCAGCGCTGTTCGGTTATATAACTTTCCTCAAGATTTCGTGGACGCTGCTGAAACTCCCGTGAGGCCGCAGGAGGGGTGCCGAAGCCGCGATCACTAGCGCCAGGGTTTCTGGCAAGCGCGATTACGGGTCTTTCCCTCTGCTTCAGGGCTCCTTCCACGTTGCTATCTTCAACTTTCATCATCATCATCAGAACTTGTTCTCCCTGACATGGGAGCCGTTCCTGTTCCCTATACGCTGCGCATCTATACGTAAGCTGATTCTCATGGCTGAATGCGACCTCACGACAACGCCATGTCCTGTGCTAGGCTAGAGAAAGAGCTTGGAGACAGTGTAGCCTCTCGATCTCACCTCTCGCGAACAGCAACAACAATCACGACCTTGTTGAATGTCCCTGGCATGCGAGAGTCAAGTATAGCCGATTCATGCATGTCGCGATACCAGGGGCATGGGCTCCTTCAGTACTAGAACAAACGCAACAGCAGCGGGTGTCGCAGAACTTTGGCACAGTGCCAGAACTGCAAATAACAATGAAGCGCGCGCGACAACTCATCCCGCGTCTCCCAAGGGCCCTTCCACGCTGATACTTGGATGCAAAGGTCGCAATTCTCTTACTTGCTGAGCCCACGGAGGGACCTCTGAGCAGGACGTTGAAGATACAAGTAACAACATGTCTCCACGGATTACTGAACAGAGGTCTACACATAGTGGAATCAATGTCGATCATATACTGCCGGGTGATCTTGCATGGCCGACGCACAGGCTAAACGGCACTTCAGAAAGAGCCCCACTGCACCCCGCAACGTGGGGAAGCACAGAGAACCGCGATGGCGGTATTAATTTCCATTCAATGGTCGAGCCAGGGCTTCTAGAGTGCATACGTCTTCTTGCGTCCAATCGACTCTCACGTTGTGACGAGGTCCATTTCGACGTCCTGGCATGGCATCCGCTTCACTGCGCCATGCCCATATGAGTCTACAATACCCGGATTTGAACAATATTCAGGTGGTCACTTCTCGTTTTGGGAGACACGGCAGGTCATGGGTGTTATAGTGCGAGGCGGTCTCCTCGCGGCTCAAGGGAACTTTCGCACTCCAATCGATGACACCGACTATACAGATGACGACTAATTTTCCCATCAATGAGCTGTCGATGCAGGAAAAGGCTGTGCTACTTGCTGAAGGCAGTACTGTAGATGCTTGCATGAGTTACATGGGAGACGTTGTGTATCCAACATTCTCATGCCAGACTGTATCAATGGCATAATACGAAAACGCAGTATATCATCCTACACGAGTCTCTACTGAATAGCCTCTAGCACTTACACTAGAAATGGGTCTCGCAAATGTAGCAACCATAACTCCTGCTATGATAACCCCTGCTCCTTAAGCGCGTGGCGAGCATGAAGGAGACCAGCAGGCGCCAAGACGTGTTGCCTTTATTGCAGAGCAGTCACGCTACGAAGCTCACTTTGTCATAATCATGCATTCATATAGTGGCTATATTTCCCCGCGGGAACACGGAATGCTTGTGGAGGTCATCATCACTACATAAGAGACGAAAACCCGCCAGCAATCGTTAGTGTTGGTCCAAAAGGTTTACAATATCGCCGAATCGCCCACCATGAAATACTCATTCGTCCTTCCGCTCCTCGCTACGACCGTCCTCGCGGCACCGGCTACGGAAAAACGCCAGGACGCGACATGCACTGTCCCAACGACTTTCCCCTCCACCGCCAACTCCAAGTTGCCGAACCCCTTCAAGTTCTTCGACGGAAGGGCTGTTACTACGAAAGCCGATTTCGCATGCAAGAACAAGGAGGTCAGCGCTGCCATGCAGGCACAAGAGCTCGGTGACTTTCCCAAGAAACCATCAAGCGTCACGGCCACCTTCTCTGGCTCCTCTCTTTCCATCACCTCGACCGAGGGAGGAAAGTCGGTTTCCTTCTCGGTTTCCATTAAGAAGCCCAGCGGAACTGGCCCTTTCCCTGCCATCATCGCATATGGCGCTGCTAGTCTCCCAGTCCCGAGCAATGTCGCGACAATCACTTTCAACAACGACGATATCGCTCAGCAACAGGGTGGCAACAGCCGTGGCAAAGGCAAGTTCTTCGACCTGTACGGTTCCAGCCACAGTGCTGGTGCTCTCACCGCCTGGGCATGGGGTGTCGACCGCATCATCGATGCTCTTGAGGCCACTCCTAGCGTTGGCATCGACCCCAAGCGCGTTGGTGTGACTGGATGTTCTCGCAACGGAAAAGGTGCTTTCGTCGCGGCCGCGCTCGTTGACCGTATCGCCCTGGGTCTGCCCCAGGAGTCTGGCTCCGGTGGTGCCGCCTGCTGGCGCATCTCCGACTCTGAGAAGGCCAAGGGGAAGAACATCCAGACCTCCAGCCAGATCGTCGGCGAAAATGTCTGGTTCTCCACGAGGTTCAACTCCTTCAGCACCAAGTCCAACACCCTCGCTACCGACCATCATCAACTCGCTGGTATGGTTGCTCCTCGTGGTCTCCTGGTCATCGAGAACGAGATTGACTGGCTCGGTCCCGTTTCTACTACTGCTTGTATGAAGGCCGGTCGCCTCATCTACAAGGCTCTCGGTGTGCCAGACAACATGGGGTTCACTGGCTCTGGCAACCATAACCACTGTTCGTTCCCATCCAACCAGCAGACTGATCTTACTGCGTTCATCAACAAATTCTTGCTCAACCAGACCTCGAACACGGCCAACATCGAGAAGGGTCCGTCTGGTGCAGACGCTGCGACGTACATTGACTGGACTGCACCCACACTCACCTAGGAACTGGGTTTGATCGTGGAAATATTGGAAACGAATAGAGTTGACATGGGCTCGATATGTACATAGTTGGCGACGAGTCCGTAGCTGAATGACATCTTTGCCAAGATTGTAGCATCTTTAGATTGCCCTGGTCGCAGAACCCTGCCCAGTCTGAACTTGGAGCCAACATGATTACGCTTGGACTAGATGAATGCGCTGATCAAAAAGCAAATCCTCCATGCACTAGAAATTGAGGAGGAGATGTTTTCAGTTGCCTGGACTTTCGTATATGTGTGTATGCGATAGAGCGTCGTTGCGGATGGCTAAACAGAGCGACGGGAGCCTCACACCGTCGTTCAGCGCAAATCCAGAATCCTCACCACCAAGGCCTTTTTAGCTGATAGAGCCGCTAGGCAGGCGTAAAGTTAGGACAAGGCGCCTCGGTCCATGATTTGGGCATGTCTGACCGAAATTAACATTGAGAACAGGCCTGGTAAGAAAGGGAGAGGGGTTTGATGTTCGCTGGACTGTGGTAGCAGGTTTAGAGGGGTCGTGGACGTGGCACCCACTCCACTCGTTCCTCCGCCTCCGATGCGGTGGCTTATTCGGCACTAGTCCACGTCAAGCGCGTTGTTTATCTGTCTACCCCACAACCACTGCTTCAGTGAACATGAATGAAGACGGACGAGGAGGAGTGAAAGCAGCGCAGCAGGACGCCCACCACGCGCTGATTGGCCACAGCCCCAATTGAGCCATCACATGACTGCCAAGGCGCTAACTCGATTGCGACGCAACAACGCTCCAGGCTAGAGGACGTCCCAGCCCGCCGCAGCAGACGTTCAACACCACTCCCGATATCACTCCCAGTTGCGCCCGCATCTCAATATCCCCGCAACACGCTGTCCACGACGCGTATAGCGGTTTCCAACGCTTTTAGAGCGCGCCCGCGCCTTTGCCACCTCCCCCACCGAAATTGCGCGCACCCCCTTCAGCCTCACCACACAACGCGACTCTGCCAACGGCGCACCCCCGAAGGTCTTTCATCGGCTTCATCAACACAACGGCCGCCACCACCACGACGCCGCACGATAATGTTATAGAATCGCTGCACGCGCCCCCCATCCCGCCCGCGACTGTCTTTCCCTCATAATTGCGCGACTGCTGCCTACCCCGACCCGCGACCGCGTCGAGAGTCGACATCTCGCATCTTGGCTATCCACCGCGCAACACAACATTTATACTGAACCACCACCAGCATGGCGTCGGTTCAAGCCAATCCAGAAATGCCGGGGCAGGGTCCCCTCGCTGCGAACATTACGCGCGAGCAGATTCAGCAGGTCTTCCAGGTACGTACTGCCACTTAACCGCGTGTTCCCTTGCGCCCTGAGCAATTTCCTTTGCTCGAGAAGCTTACTAACACGGTCTTTAGAGCTACACCCGGATGAAGCAACAAGGCGTGCCCGAGACTAACCCCGAGTTCATCAAGGCGCGCAATCTTCTCACCATGGTGCAGAAGCAAAATCAGTTCCAGCAACAGCAGAAGATGCTGCGGCAACAGCAAATGCAGCGCCAACAAGGCCAGATGAACCCCCAAGCCGCACAACAGAACGGCGCCGGCATGGCCATGTCCAACGGCAACAAGCCAGCTGCTCCCACTGAGGGCAAAGTCGCTACGCCTGCGCCTGCCTCGAGCGGCCCTTCAACTACCATCCAGACTGCGACTGCTGGCGGCCAAGCTCCTCATGGCGACGGCCAGACCCCCACATCGGCGACAGCTGGTTCAATGCCGCTGAACAAAGATCAACTCCTTATGCTGCGCGCCCAGATTGGAGCTTTCAAGCATCTATCCAAGGGTCTGCCGTTACCCTCTAACATGCAGCAGCAGATCTTTGGTCACCACCAAGCCAAGAAGCCCCAGAACGCTGCCGAGGCGGTAGCTGCCGCCTCTCAGATGCTCGACAATGCCACCCGTGCAGGCAGCGCCTCGAGCGCAAATGGCGGCGCAGTA